AAAGACAATTTCTGCGCCAGCTTGTTTCTCTGAAATTCTCTCTGCCACTGAACAGCTAGAACAGATAATAACTATTAGTAAATCAAACTCCTCTGCAATATCCAGCTGTGCCTCACGCATTTACATACAGATAGAATGGGTATATGTTTTTAATATGTATGGGATCCGTACTTTTACCACAGCCGAAGTGCGCACTACAAAGGAGGAGGAGAATGGGAGTCGGATCAGCATGAGATAATAAAGTGGCCTAGATAAAGTATTAGCCAGCGATTGATCTCAAACCGGGATGCTGCTGCTTCTGACCTGATTACTTACTATGCATAGATTCCATTAAATAGAGCTTAGACATGGAAAGCTTCTGGAAATACTCTAAATGCATAGAAGGATCTGCAGCACTCTGAACCCAAACTGTAACTGCAGAGGTGCCCGCAGCTTGCGCCCTCCCTGCTGGAGTCAAGGCCCGCATTCAGGATAGGCTGGGAGGTTAAAGGGCTGCCTGACAGCTGGTGGGAAGCCCTGCTGAGCCCCAGGGGGAGGGCCTCTCCCTCCCCTCCCCCGCTCCCGGCAAGCACCCTCTGAGTGAATGCCTCCCTCTGGAGTTGCTTGTCTGGTCCTGGCTGCACAGTACTAACAGAACGGGAAGGTAGCGAGGGAGTTTAACAATCATTCAGGGTCACGGTCCCCTTTGAAAGACGAATGACAGCCATGAATTCCTCTTTTCACACAAAAAAATGCAAATCCCTGCATGCATACATGATTTTGGACGTAATTTCAGGGGCTCTAACAGACTTCCCGAAGCCACAGGCTCTAGGCCGAGACTGCTGATCTAGTGCGTCCCCTTCCTTTTGCAGAGGAAGACACAGGGGCGGGGAGGGGGTGGGCGGGGGCTGACAAGGGAAGGGAAGTGTGGAGGCCTTCCTTGCCAAGTCACAGGCAGACGCGAGCTGCACAGGAGCCTGAGAAGAGGGTTTCTGCTCCAGGAATTCTCTGTGGTTTACACAAGCAAACGGTCTATTCAATAATGTTTCTCACCATTATCCCTTTTATTTAAAAATACTTAAACATATATTTGAATAGCAAAGCCAGACTTGAACGGCTCCGTCTCAATCTCAGGCTGTCTCTTTCATCCCTGAGTTTAGGGGTCTGATTTTTATGTTTTTACTTTATTTTATTGGGTTTAAGGCTGACTCCTGATTTATACAATAGCTCAATCTGATTATTAACATTTTGAGAAAACTTCTCCACCATCTTTGCATTTTCATGTTCTCTTGCTGCTGTCTCACCAACCAATCCTTTGTGACTGACAGAAGCTGCAGCCCATTCACACCCGACCCGGACCCGCCCCCGCGCCCCCGCCCCCCCCCTTAAAGCCCTGACGTCCTTGCTTGGCTGTCTGAAGCCTTCAGGACATTCTGTCTGCCACCTCCAGAGTTTCGGCAACCTGGAAACTTTTTCCTAAGTGTTTCGGTCTTAGGTCACAGAGCTGGGGCGGCACTGACATAGGTCTTTCCTGTAATTTGAAAGATCTCAAAACGGGTTTTTTGATAGTGAAATCGGTATCCTCCGAGCAGAAGGAGCGTGTGTGAGTTCCTGTCTGGTTGTGTCGGCATGCCGAATGTTCCTGGCTGCCTGCATGGCTTCTCCTTTGTTGCTTTTAAAGCTGACTTCTGGTTTTTGCAATTTTTCAGTTCCTAAAGAACTGCAGAAAGGTCAGTCTTCCCCAAGGATGAAGGACTTTCCTGCACTTGAATGGGAGGTTCACACAATAAAAAAGGCTTATGTGTAGAGCGGTGAACTGCTTCTATGTCAGGTCAAAATTCTCAGGCCTGGACACTAGGGTTCCTTCTATAAGAAATGGAATTTCTTAACAGGTTGCCCAGCTAGGGGTGACTGTGTTGCCTATTTGAACTCCACCTTTGTGGATTTGGGACTTCATGAGGCCAGTACCAAAGGGATTTCCATAGCAGGCACTAGAGGTTTCACACTGCTCTGAAGAGGTCTGGGATCCCTACACCCTCAGGCTTTGCCCAACCTGTTTCCTTTGCCTGGAATGTCCCCTTGAAAACTCTCTATTAAATCCAGTCCATCCTCCAAAGGTCCTCCTCAAATGCTACCTTCTCCATGTAGCTTCTCCCCATCTCCCCCAACGGGATCCCCACAGAACTCTGCCCTTCTCTTACAGCAGTGACTTCGCCTAGGTACTTGCAGCATCCCCTGCAAGGCTGCATGCCTGTGGCTTACTCTTCTATCTGCTGCTGAGTCTAGCACAGGACGTTGCACATAGCGGTCTATAAATATCTGCTGAATTCAACTGTGTACCTGGTTCTGAGATTTCCCAAGATGATGTGGATGGTGATGATTAAACTTTAGAGAGAATTATTTATGTAGTTTAAAGAGTATATGCCAGAGAAGTGTACTGGCTCATGCAGACCCTGGCCTCCCCAAAATTTTAGTGTTAAGGCAATTTTCTTGGTCCAGCTTTAAAATACTTCCACTTAGAACATAAAAACTGATAACCATCTTAGGAACAACCACACAAATAGAGACTCAAATAGCTAAACAACAAAACAAGTTCTGAACACTAGGATTTTAATGACCTCAAGAGTCTAAACTGGAGTTTTTTATATTTCATCTTAAAGACTGACAAGGCAAAAATTGCAAAGATGATGATTTAAGACCTGAGTATTCTGGAGATAAGGTGACCCCTCCAAATAAAAGGATTTTGCTTGGGTGCCCACTATGTGGGTGGCCAGCCCCTCTTCTCTGAGTCTGATTACCCAGGCTGGGGCTTGGGTTCACCAGTGGCCACATGCTCTTCATTTGAGAGTTCCCTGATGGTGAACAGCTAACTCTCAGTATTTCCACTGATCCCATCCCTGATTTTCTTCCTTTGATTTGGAAAATGCAGGCCCGTAGGGAAGCCTCAATCCTGCAGGCCTCACAGTTGGTGCGGCCCCAGCTGGGCAGACCACGCTGGTACTCCTGCCCGCTGGAGTTTACTGCGCCTGGGAGATCAACTGCTTTTTTTGTGAAAGGTAGGCCCTCACCCACAGTGATAAATGGGCTCTACAGTTCACGCATTCCAGAGGACACTCTCAGCTTCCAGATGGGAGCACCATCAAATAGGTTGTAGGCAGAGAGGGAAAAGGAAAAATTAAAGCCATTAATATGCTGGAAGAAATAAAGACACTGGTTCCTTGAGATTGGGTCCCTAGGATGTGACAGGTTCCTCAGGCCAGGGACAGCCCACTGGCTCTCCCACTCCCTACTGGGTCTAATATTTTGGCCCAAAGTAGGCAGGGCTCAAACCTCCTGGCCACAGGAGCCTCACACACACTCCGCTGTTTCCTGCCCCCTCATTGAGCCATTCCATAACCATGGGGTGCTTCACTATTGTTATACCTAAGGGAATGAATTCATTTAAATCAAACCGTGAACAGTACTAGAAATAATGTTAAATTAAGTATGGGAAGGTGCTTCCTGTGACTAAATTTTTCATTGTATTTTATTGATATTTATTAATTAAAAATGTGGCACAGTACACACAAGGGTATATAGTTAAAGAAATATATCGAAACCAAAATGCGCTATCCCTTGTCTCTCTGCCCACCTGTGTGCGCACACAGACTTCCAGGGCACTGAGAATGCTCATCCACCCTTTAGCCTTATCTTTACGACTTGCCACCCTGGAGTTGTGATCCTTACCAAGACATACATCCATATGTATTTATGGGTGTTATGTACGATCTGCAGATGTTTTATTTATAAGTGGCCAACTCATTGCAGCACTGAAACATGCATTTACAAACAGATATGTTTTATGAAACCCTATTTCTTTGTTTTAATAGCTGAGCTATCCAGCCATAGCATAATAATGTACAAGGTAAATGGAGTCTCCATCTCTAGAACCTGTTCCAAGTTTTCTCAAATGTGACTAACTGCAAGAATTTCCCAACCATCAAAGGGAGCCCCTGCTCCTCCCACCAAAAGACCAGTTGATTCCAGACATGAAACCTGCATGGTTATAAATTGTAGAGGTTTTGGAGGTGAACTTTAAGTTGAAACTACCCTGACAACTGAGATTTTGCTCCAGGGGTAAGAGGAAGGGGGAAACCACCTTCCTGGCAAACACTTAGATGCAAAAGGGAAGAGTACTGTTGTTTTATATTTCAGGATGAAATGTGTATTATACAGAAGAGGGTTGGGTGCTTAGTGGGTTTATTAGGATGGAATACAGAGGATGGAAACTAGTATCTGTAAAATGCTTATTGTTTAAAGCGGTGACAGGAAATTGGTTGGAATTTTCTGTGACTGCAATAATGTAAAGCTATACATGGTATACGTTAGAAAGAGTAGACTATAATTACTATTTACTAATGCTCGATCCTAACATTATTCTAACAGCTTGTGCAATCTGCCTAAATAAATGACCATTTGGGAATTGTAAGGAAGTGTTTCTGCTCCTCTCCCTGCTTGACTAAAACTGTCATTTGCAATCAAAGAAAGCAGGCCTGGAGCTGAGAACACAGCACCCGCAGCCTGTGGCTGGCTCTTTCTGAGAAAAGACCAAAGATTCACATTAACTTGATCTTTTGCAGCCAATCTAATTTCATCCTACACGAATCCAAGAGGACTCCACACCACATTCAGATCTTCATGGAGGATTGCACTGAAAACTTAGTACACTGACTATCATCTCTGTTACTGAGAGGCTGTAATAGTAAATGAGGACAAGGAGTAACCCAGATGGACCTGTGACCCTCCAGTGTGAGGCCAATGAAAAGAGTTATACAGTAAGTTTTAAAATGATGGTGGGGTTTTAAGAAGTGAAAACTATTATTTGAGGATATGAGCTTCAAATACACCTACCCACTAATGCTGTAAATAATGTCTCTCTAGAGCCTATGGATGTTTTTAGTTCCATTCTGGCCTTTTAACAGAATGTTAAGCATAGATATATAACTGGAAAACCTTGATGTAAACTAAAAAAATTGACTTACCATCAATTCTTCAGGTGCTGGCCTCTCTTTTGGCTGTTTTCTCATGCTGTAAGAGAAAAAAAAACCCTCATATTATTTATATCACTTATAAATTTGTGCTATAATTTCCATCACTGACTATTTCCCCTGGAATCTGAATGTTTTTCAAAATTCATCACGTTCAAATTCTTGGCCAAAGTATTGGCATATATTCCCTTTCTTTTATTTTGGCCTTTAACCAGATTTTGGGGGATTGCATGAATCAGAAACATGAAGTTTTTTTTTTCATTGGAGTTACTTTTGCAACATGGATAAAGAAAGAATTTAAATTTATCCTCATTCTACCTTTGAAACTAATGTGGAAAAAAGTGACAATATTCTCTTCCTGACTCAATTATCAGTTTATTTCTAACTTAAATTTAGGGAACTATACACTTTTTTTTTTTTGGTAATTGGGATAAGACAGTAAGAAAGGAAACATGACTATCAGGTCAAATGAGAAAAGATGTCATTCCTTCACTATTACTCCAAATGACAAGCAATGTATAAAAGAGGTCAGGGATCTAGATAATCCTATAAAATTACAAATGGGCTATTACATTATTTCTGCTTTCATTTATTTTGACCACAATGCAAGTTGATAATTCATTAAACAGCTGTGGGAAAGTTAAAGTTTGTTTAAGCTGCTTAAAGAATCACATTCCTCATGCAGAATATTTCTTGTCTTCCATGTAATAGGTATAATTAGTAGCTGTAGCATGTACTTAGCTATGTGATGAAGCCCCTGCACGTAGAACTGAGGTGACTGTGGGTAGCCACCTACTTGGTGGCTGTGTCTGTACTAAACTCAAAGTGTCTGTGGGATGAAGTCATGAAAAGAGATTGCTTCATTTATGACTTGGAAAGTCACACAGATGCTTTTTCTTTACATGAAGCAACCTCTAGTAAGCAATAAGAAAATCCTTTATATAACCTCTGCATTTGTTGACAGTATTTTTTTTTTGAAGTAGAGAAATTGAATGATCATTTGGTAAACAAGAACCATAGTTATGAACCATTAATGACATCAAGGATATTTATTTGCCTTCTCTATAAATAACCATATGCACCTCTCAAATACTGCATCCATTAGCAAGTAATTCAAGCTGTCTCGCCAGTGGAGTTGGTAACAGTCCTAATCTGACATTCCAAAGTGCCTGTATCTCTTGGGAAAACAAGGCTATTACCCACTATCATTTCTGTTTCAGCTTGACATCTGCGGAAATTTCAACACAGGTTACCCCTCCCTCTGTTTCCATAGAACTTTCATATAACAGCTGATTAATTTTTTGGTCAGGAGGAAGGCAAAGCCTTATCTGCTTTTCTCCCTGTCTGCCGAGACCCAGTCCCGCCCCCAGGTTGGTCGGAGAGCACATGGCAGGATAAGCCGAGGTAGTCCCCCTACAATCCAACATCTCCGGAGTGTGTGAGGCCCAAACACGGCACCCTGGGCAGCTTAGGAATGGCATGGCTTATTTTTCAATTTTTGCATTTTAAAATGGGGCACATTCCCGTGATGTGCTTCTGCATGTTTCTAGGAATCCCATGTAAAGAAAATTAAGAGAAATTAATACATGCTTCTGGGTAATAGCTCTAATACTATTAATGAGCTCAGGATTCCAGTGCTCAACCACGATGTATACTTTTTTCCAACAGGGCACACTTTGGAAATAATATGTTTGCAGAGTAAAAACAGTTTTTAAAAGCTACAGAAAAGTACATAAGTATTTTAAATAGAAACAAGTGTTAATAAAATTTTAAAAGTGGGGGTAAAGAAATCTCTTCCCCATATATTTTTCTATGGAATATAAACTGTATGAGACAGTTTTATTAATAGGTAACATATTACACTTAGTCAAAAAGGTGATAAAGCTTGACATTTATATTAAGGAATATGTCTTAGTTTCACTTTAGTGTAATCATCAGATGGATCATGGTGGGGGAGGGAAGGGAAGAGGGGACAACTGTTCCAGTGTAGCAAGGACCCCTGATGACACCATTGCGTGGCAGCCTGAGAACCAAGGGTTCATGTCCCGCCAGTGGACGTGGTTCTGGAAGAGCGGTGAAAGGAGGAGGAATGTGGTGAAGGAGGGAGAGAAATGGAGGTGGTTATGAAGGAGTTTCCAAATGTCCAGAACAGTTTCTAGTCTGTTCTGTCTCCTGCTTTGGGGGAGCTTCTCCTATGCCCCAATTTCCTCCTGTCTCCCTCTTTCCACACTGGGGTGAGGGAGCAGGTAGCAGGAGGGCAGCGGGGCCCCTGGGCTTTCCAAGGCCACAGGACGCTGCTGAATGGGGGAGAGATGGCTGCTGGGAAAGGGATAATAAAGGAAAAACCTTTCTAATGGGAAGAAAAAGGCACATGGCTGGAAAAGAAACCATGGCAGAAAAATGTCTGTTTCCTCAGGTGTAAATGACAAGGGGTTGCCTAGCGACTCTGAAGGTCCCTTTGACCTAAATCCTATGGTTCCTCTTAGTTCTTAATGGTTCAAGTGGACCGAATGGAACCATGTTTTCATAGTCTTTCAAACATCAAAATTCATTGAAATGGGACACCAGTATTATGCTTAAAATATAACCAAAGATATTTACTGAAAATCTGATAAATTAATAAAGTGTGCTGCTTCCACTAGGTGACTGACAGTTTTATGGGTAACTTGAGGTTACATTAATAAAAATAAGCTTCATATGTCAGTTCAATAAGGGCTATAAAATTGTGTATTTCTTAAAAATTGTATAACAACGGTATCTGTGCTCAAAGAAGTAGCCTCTCAGTTTATTAAAACAGGAAAAAGCCGCTGAAGTACATTTATGACCCTTTGTGTAAATAATGTTTACATAATTTAAACAGTTTCTTTAGCTTTGCTGCCCCATCTGCCCAAGGCCCCAAAGTCCCTCCTGTCTCCAAAAGGAAGCAGGGAGGGCCGCACGGTCTGCGGAGCCACCGAGTTAATGGCATGTATCATTTACGTTGAGGGCATGGCAATGTTTGCAAACCGCTCACCACTGAGTGATGAAATGTACAAATGGCTCGGAGAACTCTCCAACCGGAAGGACAGGCGAATCCTGGGATAGAGGAAAGACAAGTCACCAAAAGTCACAACAATTCCTTTTCTTTCTTTATGTTCTCCCTGCTCCTCAAAAGCAGTACAGGATGAACGTACTGTTAGCAAGGATTCACCGCCACGTGGGAAGGACAATAACAAGGCCTCATCCAATTAGAAAGACTGTCTAAACTCTCTTCCACTTGTTTATGTAAAAATGCCAAATTTAAAGCCACACACATTTTACAATGGTGAGAAACATGAGAGCAAAGAAGGAGGGGAGGTGAAAAAAGGACAATGATAGCCACAGGGTAGGAAAGAAGGTACAAAAGTGTAAATGAGAAATTAATGATTATTTAAGTAACACACAAATGGTCTTGTAATTAACAAAGCTGTGAAATTATTCTTGTGTTGACCTTTGTTTCTTTTACTGGATTTACTATTTATTGACACTTTCCTTTTTATTTACATTTATTTGTATAGTCAGCTGCTCTTAACTGGGTGCCCCTAACTGAATCATCTGGGTCAGATTATCATTATTATTTTTTTACTTTAATAGGAAGGCTTTTGTAGGGGAAGCTGTTTACAGGAAAAGGGGTTTCAGCCTATCTGCCAGTCTAGGCAAACTAACCATATGAGAAAGCCAGTGAATTGAGGACACGGTGAAAAACTCCCACCCTGACCACCAAACAGAACTGGAGCGGAGGTGGGAGTCACTCAAAAGAGCAGAAAACCACACAGCAACAAACGGGCAACCACTGTGTAACACAGGGAGCAGACCCCATTATCGTTTGCAAAGGAAGGCTTTAAGAATTTAGGAGTTTTTCCAAGAATGACAGAGAGCTCCACTGTGTTTATAGTGTAACGGCTCAGGATGTAATGAAATTACACTGCAGAGTACTTTAACAGTCATCTCATTAGACCTACAGTTGGAACAAGAGAGCCACATAAAGTAGGCAGCTGCAAATGACTCCATTCTCATCTATTCTCATTTGCTATTAAAAATACCTTTCGGCAGCTTTTTTCCTCCCTGACATCCCTACACAAAGTGCCCTGCAAAGTATGATACATGCACCTATTTAAATTAACAAAGGAATGACTTATTTTAATCTCACTGTGCTTTGGAGTGCTTTGGCCATTTGGATGAGCAATATATCATTACATACAACCTTCCAGCGCTGCAGGCAAGAAACTCAGAGCATGCAGCATTTGGTGGGAGCCAAACAATTTCTCTAGCACACAACTGTGTCAAATGCATGCATGTATTCATTATTGAGAACGAGAGGAAATAGCTTTGATGTAGTGGAAAAAAGAAGATGATAAAAGCACCTCTGCAGTATGTGTGTCATTATCAATGGTGGCAGATAGATACAAGTGCACAGCCTCCTATGTGATTAGTAAATATACATATAATTGCTGTGGCCAATTATCAGAAAAATGAGATCGGTAATTACAAGGCAGAAAATTAACTAGAACTCTTATTAAGGCTTTGTTTCCAATTCAAACAATTGGAAACTGCTGGAAAATACAATTAAATCCAAAGGAACTGAGAGGGTCAAAGCAGACAAAACAAACAAACAAACAAAAAGAAACAAAAAAAGAAAATCTGAAGAGGTTAAAAGGAATGTGAACAAAATGTTTCTTAGTTTTTTGCATATCTATCTTCTTTGAATTTATTCTATTCATCCAGATGAGGGGAAGCTTAGTAATCATAAACTTATAATTCTCAAGAGTAGTAGAGAAAGGCTTCCAAGAGGAAAGGAAAATGGGAGTGAAATAAAATCTTGCCAAGTTCAAAGGATTACATGCAGGCATTACGTAGAGAGGCCATGAGAAAAGGGGGGCCGATGAATTAGCCCGCTCAGAAGGAACAAGGCACACAATAACATAAGTCCTCGATAAAGGTACTATAAAATGGTCACAGAAGTCCCATTGGTTTGAAGAGCAAAAATAAAACATGATATCAATTTCAGCTTGGCCTGTTTTAGGAAAGCCACATATATCACCAAGCCTGCAAGATTCTACAAGGCCCAATTCAAGAAATGACATTTTACTCTCTCAAAAACTATTAGTAAAAAGATAGTTCAAAGTCTGAGGTACAAATACTATGAACCCTGATCAGGTAGGTAGTCCTCTAAGTCTTTTGTTTCTGAAATTTTTTTGGAGGCTGTAGTATTGAAGTGTCTGAGTAGTCGCTGCTTTAAAATGTAATGTTTAGGAAAATAAAAGCCTACTGTCTTAATGCGGCTGAATATTTACCAAGATGGTTAAAATTCTGGAGTGGTTTTTTTTTTACAAAGATCCTGGTATAAAACATGATGCTAATGTGGGCCTCATTTCAAAGTATGATACCAAGAGTAAATTAATGAATTAAAGACTAGGCAACTTGATGAAGATGTCATTTTAACATGGATGAGAAACAAAACAAGAAAATGTGACATTTTCGCATGGGTAGTTAATTTTATTTAAGACCTGATATTATAGCCTGTGAAGTTCCTCATAACATAAAACTAAGGAACACTGGGTGGTACCCATGAATAATTTATTTCACTTGTGAAAATGCCGGCCCAAGTCGACTTTGCAGAACCACAGAGAGTGGGTTCTCATCTCAGTGGTGCCTTGGAAAGAACCACTTATCAAAGATGCAGGGAGATATTCTAATCTCGCATGCATAATGCCAGATTTTTATTTTCACTGGAAAATCCATGTCTCTCGCATGCCTCAGGGGAGAATTTTCTGAAATACAGAAGAGTGACTAGTGGTAGGGTGGTCAGAGCACCACACACAATCACGGGGCAAAGGAGCCCCTGGAGAGCCCCCAACTCCACAAAAGCACACAGGCTATGAAAGCTCCAAAGGAAAGCAAATGCACAGACTCGACAGTGTTCGCCACACTGGAGGAACTCAAAGGATACTTTTCTCCTGTGTAAGCAAGTAAAATAATAAGTTGGTTTAGATCAGGATGGGAAACGCCTCCAGGCACCCGCCCATTTGGGGACCTAACTGCAAACCAGCGTGAAGGAGGGCGGAGGCTCACAGCACAGCGACCCCTGCGTCACTGCAGCGCTCAGGCAGGGGAAGCGGCCAGTCGCCGCGGGTCAGAGGGGGCCCGAGGCCCATGCCAACGGGTGCCACGGATCTAGTAAAGCAGTTGCTGCTCCTTACCAAAGATGTTCTCTGTGAAATACAGGTTCAGGCAAGATGAAGAAATACATTTCAAAAGTATAAACGTGAATTGGAGAAACAGTTACACGAATAACTCTCAGGACTGGCTGAAATCAACTCCAAAAATGTTAGTAGAAGTCTCTCTCTTTAAAACCCTCAGTGCCGTACTTCACCTTAAGGGCTTTTTTGAGGATGCTTTTCTGTTGAACTATAAGCATGGAGGAACAGAACAAAACAGTGGACACAACCTCAACCAAAGCCTTAACCTGAGATTCTAGTCCCATATCAACTTTAGAGTCCTGCTAAAGGGACACAAGCTGGCTGCTGCTATTGAGCAGGCAACTGTTAGATACAAACAGCTGTCATCAACCATTTCAGTAAGCAATTCCGGTCATCAGGAAGGACAGTCTCCCAGTCTCAGAGGTTTCAGTAACCACCTGGTCAGCCCCTTTTGCTAAACAACTGGAACACCAGCATGCGGTATGCTGGAGAACAGCGAAGGACAATGGGAAAAAAGTTTGACTGATGCCTTTGCCTTGTGAATAATGAACAGTTCACGAAGGTCAACCCATTACAAGTGAAACTGTTTAATTATTAATTATGCACAATCTATGAGCAAAAGGACAAGTTCAGAATGCATAATGTATGCTAACTTCAACTGGACTCTCTCTGGGTATTTTGTTATTAGCACTTGTCAGCAAGGTACTCAGGCATAAAAAAAGGCAAGCAGCAGAAAATCTGAGGGCGTGTGACTGTGTGTGTGTGTGTGTGTGTGTGTACCTGCACACCCAAAGAGATGGAGGAAGGAGGAGGGAGACGGAGGTCCAATTCCAACCACAGCCTGCTGCTAGTTAACTTGCAAAGTAAGTGCGCCAGTAAGTACATTTTGTGACCCTGAGAGCAGGCAGGTAAGTTGGATCCACCGAGCACAGAAAACATAAACAAAGCAATGCTTCTGAAATAACTTACTTAAAAGAGAGATCATTATTTCTAAAGACAGATTTTTACCACTATGATGTTTCTTGACTTTGAAAGGAATCATGTCGTTAACATTTACACACACACACACACACACACACACACACACACACACACACACACAGGAGTACATGTAAAACTGATAGAATCTGAATAAATTCAGTGGATTATATCAATGTCAATTTCTTGGTTGTGTTACTGTAATACAGCTGTTACTATTAGGGGAAACTGGGTGAAAGGTATACAGGATCTCTGTATTATTTCTTACAACTGCCTGTGAATCTAAAATAGATTAGATTAAATTAAAATAGGTGTTAAAATAGAAAGTTTAAAAAGGAAAAGATTTGAGGAGCTTTTTTTAAAAACTCTCATGAGGTCCAGATTTTTCGCTTTATATCAAGGAAAAACTGGCATAACTACTCAACTGGAAAAAACTGAAGGGACTTTTGCTTCAAAAAATATAACTGAGGATTCAGTTTGGCCTTTAACTCATAATTACAGGTGACAATGGAACTTGACAAGGACATGGTGGTTAATTCAGACATTGACAGGGCATAGATATAAAATGCTATATAAGATGATACAATCATCATTACTTATTAATTGGCTCATTCATTCAACAATTTTCTTGACCACCTGCCATGTCAAAGGCACTGAGCCTGGCACTGTGGGACAACTGACATTTAATTCATTATCCTCAAAGAAACCGTAATGTTCGGGAGGATAAGCTGTGCACCCTCACAAACAGCCCTGCAAGATGGAGGAAATGGCCAAGTAAGAGTGCTGGGGCTGGGCACCAGGCCGCACTGTGGGGCACCGAGTGTGGCTGGCACACGAACTCATAAAGGAGAGTGCGCGGGACAGAGTGTGGGAGCCCTG